GAAATTCAAATGGCCAACAGACACATGAAAAAAAAATGTTCAGGATCACTAGCAATCAGGGAAATGCAAATCAAATTCACGTCACCCAGGTTAGAATGACTTACATACAGAAATCTACCAACAACAGATGCTAGCGAGGATGTGGGGAAGAAGGGATACTAACCCACTGTTGGTGGGAATGCAAACTGGTTAAGCCACTATGGAAGTCAATTCTTAAGTGTAAATATTGTATTGGAAAGTTGACTAGAGATTCGTTGTGCATTATGAATTTAGGATAAAGTTACATAATGTAGCCCTGTCTTCGATTTCTCCAGGTGCCTTGTACAACACCCAGTCAGTAATGCTAGAGACTCGGAAGCTTACATAAAGCAGAGAGTTCCTTCTAGATATTTAGGTGGGAAGCAAAGGCGAACTTCACTAAGCTAACAAATCTTAGTTGAAAGTAAATAGCCATATTTATATTAAGTTCAGAACCTAGTGAATCAAATCTGTGGTGGTAGAGGTCCGGAAAATGGTTCTCTCTGGAGGTGGGTGTTGACTGTAAAGGCCACACGAGGAAGGCTTTTTAGGATTCTCCAAATGTTTTATATTTTTATCTTGGTGGTGATTCTGTTGCTGTATACATATGTAAAAATACAAAAAAAGTAGTGAGAAGAGCATATGGGATGCAGGCTATTACAGTATCTATTGCTTTAAGTGAATGATCACCTTTTCCCTCCTTTTATTACTTATTATAACAAAAGATGATTTTTTTTTTTTTTTTTTTTGACAGGCAGAGTGGACAGTGAGAGAGAGAGACAGAGAGAAAGGTCTTCCTTTGCCGTTGGTTCACCCTCCAATGGCCGCCGCTGCAGCCGGCGCACCGTGCTGATCCGATGGCAGGAGCCAGGAGCCAGGTGCTTTTCCTGGTCTCCCATGGGGTGCAGGGCCCAAGCACCTGGGCCATCCTCCACTGTACTCCCTGGCCACAGCAGAGAGCTGGCCTGGAAGAGGGGCAACCGGGACAGAATCCGGCGCCCTGACCGGGACTAGAACCCGGTGTGCCGGCGCCGCAAGGTGGAGGATTAGCCTATTGAGCCACGGCGCCGGCCAAAAGATGATTTTTAATTACATGAAGTTTTAGCTTGAGGCTCCTTCCCTAGGGTTAATCACTGTTAACAGTTGTTTATTGAATAGTTTATATGTGCATACCAGTCTGTAAACACACACATTTTTAATAGTATCAAGCTATATTACTCTGAAACTTTCTCCACTTCACTCAACAACATATGATAGATATCCTTCAATTGTCAGTTTGTAGATCCTCCTGTTTCTCTTTAGTGATTATGTGGTCCCCCATAGTATGTACGCTATTTATTTAGACAGTTACCTAGAATCTTTAGTATTCAACTAATGAGAGTAATCCTGTGTTGAACTTTTTCTTTATCTATTTTGTGTATTTCTTCAAAGACTATTATAGAGAATTCCATTACTATACTAAAGTTTCTTGCTTAAATTTGATAGCTACTACAAAATTCCCCTTTAATCCTAGCAACCATGAACCACAGTCTTGTCAATATTGGACAAGAAAATGTGTGTTGACTAGAAAAAAATAGAATCTCATTGTTTTTGTTTTTGACAGGCAGAGTGGACAGTGAGAGAGAGAGACAGAGAGAAAGGTCTTCCTTTGCCGTTGGTTCACCCTCCAATGGCCGCCGCGGCTGGTGCGCTGCGGCCGGCGCACTGCACTGATCTGATGGCAGGAGCCAGGTACTTCTGGTCTCCCATGGGGTGCAGGGCCCAAGCACTTGGGCCATCCTCCACTGCACTCCCTGGCCACAGCAGCGTGCTGGCCTGGAAGAGGGGCAACTGGGACAGAATCCGGCGCCCTGACTGGGACTAGAACCCGGTGTGCCGGCACCTCAAGGCGGAGGATTAGCCTAGTGAGCCGCGGTGCCGGCTCATTGTTTTAATTTGCTTTCCTCTGATAACTAGTGGAGTTGAGCATCTTATATTAATTATTGAAGTGTGTGTGTATGTAAGAAAGACTGGGGTGGATTTTTTGTTAATTGTGCCCTATTTCAGTTTTTCCTATTAGAAGTTTTTTGTTAGGGCATTAACCTTTTTCCTATTATATATGTTACAATGTATGTTATGCATGTTACATATTCTGCCATTCAATTTCTCATTTTTTAAGATTTATTTGTCTCTTAGTTTGTATTATATGAAGCTATAAACTTTTACTTTATTCTTTCATTTTGTATATTTAAGATCATTTACTTAGAAACAGCAGACATTTTCTTATATTTTCTTCTGGAATATTTTTAAATTCATTATTGTATGTGAATTTATTTTTAAGCCTGGTATATAAGTACTAGTTTGTATTTTTCTACCAAATAGATAGCAAGTTTTCCCCATAAATCACTAAATAGTCCATCCTTTCTTCACTAATCTGAAAAAGTAGTGATGGTATAACTTGAATTACTGAAGGGTTGTAAGAAACTTACTTTTCTTTCATACAGGGAGGATGTGGGTTTTTTTTTTTTTTTTCCTTTTTTAAGATTTCTTTATTTACCTGAAAGTTAGAGAGGGAGAGACAGAGAGAAAGGTCTTCATTCAGTTGGTTCACTCCCCAGATGGCCACAAAGTCCCGAGCTGAGCCTATGCGAAGCCAGGGGCCAGCAGCTTCTTCCTGGCCTCCCATGCAGGTGCTGGGGCCCAAGCACTTGGGCCATCTTCTGCTTTCCCAGGCTATACAGAGAGCTGGATTGGAAGAGGGGCAGCTAAGACATGAACTGGTGCCACAGATGTAGGGTTACACCAGGGCGCCAGCTGCAGGATGTGAGTTTTAAAAGAAAGTTCAGGAGTATAGGGCAGGATTTATAGCAAATCAGGGCTAAAAGAAGGTTGCCTTGGGAGTAGAGTGCTAAATTAAATAGGATTCAAAGTAGAGACGAGATGGAGTAAGAATATACTGAGGACAAATATGTACTAATAGTTATATTAATAATAATCAAGAGTAGTGATTGTACTATGCCCGGTAATATCACAAAAAAAATGAGCTTTTTTTCTTTAGGAGATTTCTTTTTTAATTTTAAAGGCAGAAAGAGATATGGGGAGAGAGAAAGAAGGCAGCGTGGTCAGAGAGCTAGAATACTCTGGGGGTCCAGGCATTTCTGTTATGTTATGTTCTTTTATTTATTTATTTATTGAAAAGTCAGAATTATATATATAGAGAGAGAGATAGGGAGAGAGAAAGGAAGATCATTCATCTCCTAGTTCATTCCCCAGATGGCTGCAACAGCCAGGACTGTGCCAGGCCAAAGGCAGGAGCAGGGAGTTTCTTCCAGGTCTCTCCTGTGGGTAACAGGGAGTCATTTTTTTTTTTTTAATTTATTTATTTGAAAGTCAGTAGGGGCCGGTGCTATGGCTCACTTGATTAATCCTCTGCCTGTGGCACCGGTATCCCATATGGGCGCCGGGTTCTAGTCCTGGTTGCTCCTCTTCCAGTCCAGCTCTCTGCTGTGGCCCGGGAGGGCAGTGGAGGATGGCCCAAGTGCTTGGGCCCTGCACCCACATGGAAGACCAGGAAAAGCACCTGGCTCCTGGCTTCAGATCAGTGCAGCGCTGGCCATAGTGGCCATTTGGAGAGTGAACCAACGGAAGGAAGACCTTTCTCTCAGTCTCTCTCACTCTGTCTATAACTCTACCTGTCAAATGGAAAAAAAAAAAAAAAGTGTGTTACACAGAGAGAGAAGAGAGGCAGAGAGAGAGAGAGTCTTCCATCCGCTGGTTCATTCCGCAGTTGGCCTCAACGGCCAGATCTGTGCTGATCCGAAGCCAGGAGCCAGGAGCTTCTTCTGAGTCTCCCATGCGGATGTAGGACCCAAGGCCATAGCAGAGAGTTGGATTGGAAGTGGAGCAGCCAGGACTAGAATCAGTGCCCAAACGAGATGACGACATTGCAGGCATCAGCTTACCTGCTATGCCACAACACCAGCTCCTGTTATGTAATATTCTTAAATGAGCTTGTCTCTGGGAAGATAGTCAAAGTAATCTTCTCTTTTCCATTTCCAGAAAGATAACTAAAAAACCAGGAACTAGAATTCAATCTTGGTCTTTCACATGGATGACAAGAAGCTGATTTCTTGGGCCATTACCTGCTGCCTTCCAGAGTGCACATAAACAGAAAGCTAGAATCAGGAGCAGAGCTGGGACTTGAAATCTAGGCACTGTGTTATGGGATGTGGGCATCTTAACCATCTTAACACCCAACCCGTGTTAGATTAAATTTAATTTACTTCCTGTGGTGCCAGATTCACCAACAGGGATCATATAGAAAAAAATATTTAAGAGTGAGCTTTTGGGCCTGGCATTGTGGCACAGGGGCTTAAGCAGCTGCCTGTAATTCCATCATCCCATTTGGTCACCCGTTTGAGTCTTTGCTGCTCCACTTCCTAACTAGCTCTCTGCTATTGCACCTGGGTAAGCAGTAGAAGGTAGTCCAAGTGCTTGACCTGGATGAAACTCCTGGTTTCGTCTTGACCCAGCCCCAGCTGTCATAACCATTTGGGAAATGAACCAGTGGCTAGAAGACTCTCTCACTCTGCCTTTCAAATTGGGAAAAAAAAAAAAAAGAGAGATCTAATTAACATCTGATATTAGTATATCTGTCACATTTAATCATAGCTTATATATTAAAACCATTACTATATTAAAGGTAATTTTCAGTTATATAAAAGTTTGGGTATATGACAATGTGCAGACTATGTCATTCAGGAAAAAGACTATTAAGCTTGTGAAACACTATCTCCAGAAGAAAAATTTTTCTAGAAAATTGGATACATGTGTAGAGGAAAGTGATTATGGTATATTTAAGTATGTTAAAAATAAGACTGTCAATATAATTTAAAAATTGTTTACTTGTAATATAATCATTATAATGGAAAATTATTATCTTATTTAGTTATCATTTGTCTTCGTTTTCCTCCACCTGTATCCTTCTCTTTCCTCTTTTACAGATCATACATCCGTTGGTGGTCTGGGAGACAGTTTTTATGAATACTTACTAAAAGCTTGGTTGATGTCAGATAAAACAGACCATGAGGCGAGAAAAATGTACGACGATGCTATTGAGGTGATTACTGTTTGAGCATTTTGTTATTTAACATACATATTTGACAATGACTAGGTAAATGTAACCATTTTAGTATATGCATTCACAGTAGTTTGTTAATATTATAATAGAAAAGCCATATGTGAGTGTTAAGTTTTTTAAAATTTATGACATGTTAAAGAAAGAATTTAGTGTAGCATATCTACTTAGGAAAATTTAACTACTATATCTACAGAGACTGGAGAAACTTCTGATTTTATATACATTCCATAAACATTTCTCGTGAGTGACCCCATAAATCTATACATTGAAAACCTTATGGATGAATAATTATAATAATGGCAACACACATATATAATACTTTTTGTGCCAAGCACCATTCTCTTTTTACATTTATAAGATTTTTTTTTTTGACAGGCAGAGTGGACAGTGAGAGAGAGAGACAGAGAGAAAGGTCTTCCTTTGCCGTTGGTTCACACTCCAATGGCTGCCGCGGCCGGTGTGCTGTGGCCAGTGCACCGCGCTGATCCGATGGCAGGAGCCAGGTACTTATCCTGGTCTCCCATGGGGTGCAGGGCCCAAGTACTTGGGCCATCCTCCACTGCACTCCCGGGCCACAGCAGAGAGCTGGCCTGGAAGAGGGGCAACTGGGACAGAATCCGGCGCCCCGACCGGGACTGGAACCCGGTGTGCCGGCACCGCAAGGCGGAGGATTAGCCTAGTGAGCCGCGGAGCCGGCTGCATTTATAAGATCATTTAATCATTATCACCATTTTACACATGGGGACCTACCTTAAGTCACATGAGGCTAAGAATCTTTCTGAAGACTGCATAGCTATAAGAGGTGGAGCCTCTTATAGAGTGTGGCTGCAGAGCTTGTACTCACTGCTCTGTTGGGTTGTTTCATATGTATACAGCTGCACACCATGCTGTTGTGGCAGTTTAAAATCAGAACAGGACTCATCGCAGGAAGTGTTTATATTGAATTTTTCCAAGCAAAAACTGTGAAACAAAAAAGTATATTAAACATTTAGTTTAATATTGCTTTCTGATGCATTGTATACCCGTATCCCTTGAAGGATTTAATTACTTTTAAACAGCTGTATGTTTTAGATATAACAACCCCATTGTGATATAGTCAGTGATAAGTTTTCAGCATTATAATTTTGTTTGTTTAAACTAAGGGTCTTTTTTTTTTTTAAAGATTTATTTATTTATTTGAAAGTCAGAGTTACAAAGTGGCAGAGGCAGGGAGAGAAAGGTCTTCCATCAATGAACGGCTGGAGCTGGGCCAATCCAAAGCCAGGAGCCAGGAGCCTCCTCTGGGTCTCCCACACGGGTGCAGGGGCCCAAGAACTTGGGCCATCTTCCACTGCTTTCCCAGGCCATAACAGAAAGCTAGCTCGGAAGTGGAGCAGCCAGGTCTCGAACCAGTGCCCATATGGGATGCCAGCACTGCATTTTTTAAAAATCTATATTTTTAAAAATTTTTTAAAATATATATTTATTTATTTGAGAGGTAGATTTACAGAGGGAGAGAGGGAGAGACAGAAAAGTCTTCCTTCCGCTCCACTTCACTCCCCAAATGGCCGCAATGGCTAGAGCTGAGCCAATCTGAAGCCAGGAACCAGGAGCTTCTTCTGGGTCTCCCAAGCACTTGGGCCATCTTCCATTGCTTTTCCTGGCCATATAAGAGAGCTGGATCAGAAGAGGAGCAGCTGGAACTCAAACTAGCGACCATATGGGATGCTGTTGCCACAGGCAGAGGCTTAGTTCACTATGCCACAGTGCTGTCCCTGTAGTCTTTAAGTCTTTTTATTTTTTTTAAAGATTTATTTATTTATGGGGCCGGCACCAATGGTGCACTAGGTTAATCCTCCGCCTTTGGCACCAGCATCCCATATGGGCGCCGGGTTCTAGTCCTGATTGCTCCTCTTCCAGTCCAGCTCTCTGCTGTGGCCTGCAAAGGCAGTGGAGGATGGCCCAAGTGCTTGGGCCCTGCACCCCATGGGAGACCAGGAAGAAGCACTTGACTTCTGGCTTCAGATCAGTGTAGCTCTGGCCATTGTGGCCTTTGGGGAGGAAACCAACAGAAGGAAGACTTGTCTTTCTCTCTCTCTCTCTCTCTCTCACTGTCTGTAACTCTACCTGTCAAATAAATAAGTAAAAATCTTAAAAAAAAGAAAGTGTCCTGGGGACAAAGGCTTCTCAGTTTTTTAAAAAAAATAAGGTTTGTTTATTTATTTGAAAGTCAGAATTACAGAGAGAGAGGAGGGGAGAGAGAGATATCTTCCACCTGCTGGTTCACTCCCCAAATGGCCAGGGCTGGGCCATGGGGTGCTAGCACTGATGGCGGCTAAACTCTTCACCCCAGTACCAGCCCCTCCTTTATGAAATCTTTTATTTTGAAAAGTTGGAGGCCAGCGCCACGGCTCAATAGGCTAATCCTCCGCCTAGTGGCTCCAGCACACCAGGTTCTAGTCCCAGTCAGGGCGCCGGATTCTGTCCCAGTTGCCCCTCTTCCAGGCCAGCTCTCTGCTGTGGCCAGGGAGTGCAGTGGAGGGAGACCAGGAGAAGCACCTGGCTCCTGCCATCGGATCAGCGTGGTGCGCCGGCCGCAGCGCACCAGCCACGGCGGCCATTGGAGTGTGAACCAACGGCAAAAGGAACACCTTTCTCTCTCTCTCTCTCACTGTCCACTCTGCCTGTCAAAAAAAAAAAAAAAAAAAAAAAGTTGACTGTATAAATCAAAATTATTTTCCCCAAATCACCTGCAGTATGTTATATATCCTACCCTTATTTTTTTCATATTTGTTCTTTGTACCCCGTTTCTATTAGTTCTTAAGTCCAGATTAGGTACCTACCAAGTATTTTTAAATAACAGACTGTTCAACTTTCATTTTGAGACATGATCTAATGTGTGATCTTTATGATGTGATTTATCTTTAGTAACTGTTTTGTTAGGAGACAGAGTACATACAAATTGTAAAGTACATGACATATTGAATGCATGGAAGAGAATCGAATGACCCTTATGTTACATTCATTCTAATTTGAAATAAATCATTTTAAAATTTGCCTTTTGGAGCTATTCTACTTAAATTATTCTATCTCTGTCCTACCCTTCTCTACACTTATAGATACCAGTATTTCTGATACCTATAACTAGCTTTCTTATAAATTTTATGTTGTGATCATTTATGTTTAATTTTTAATCTTTAAAATAGTGAACAAAAAGTTAACTTTTTTAAAGCCCCTTTTGGAGCAAGAAAGCAACGCCAATATTGGTGAAAATTTGTTTACTCTCCTTTAATGGAATAACAGTATTGTTCTTAACTGCCATTCAACAGTTTGACATTTTATGCAAGTTGAATTCTCAGGTGTTTGTCATGTTTTTAGAGTGAGAAAAGAGGCATGAGTCTATAAGTGAATTACTGGTATAGAAGCCCTCTCTTTACTTCCTTTTAGCTATAGCACTAGTAAGTTTGTGGGGGATATGTTTAGATGTGCTGTAATTATAATATAAGAATTATTTTATAATGAACAGAAATAACAAAATGACAGGTATCACATATAGATTTAGAACCAAAATTCTGGCTATAATTCTTTACACATTTATGGAGTATCTTGCATACAGAAAACATGCTAGTATCATGAGATCCATAAAGATAAAAATCTTTGCCTCTGTATTTCAAAAAAAATTTCCCATATGTCCGTCAGAGTACTTACAGCTAGAAAGCAACAATAGCAGACCCTTAGAATCCAGTGGTAGTTCATCAGTGGTGGTTACCAACCATCTCTCATTCCCCTAACAACAGGTCAGATGCAGTTATCTAAGAACACTAATTTTTTTCAAAAAGTAAGAAATATTTATATATAGGAGTACATCTGACAATATTTTCTTTTCTAAATTGCTTTATATAAGGTTAACAAATTTCATATATTTCATACATACTGATTTAAAAGCAAAATGATACTTCCTTTCCCTAAGAACACTGTTCTTTGATAAACTTATTTATTAATTAAACATTTATCAAATTTATACTACCATTTAGGCTTTTTGAAGTAGAAGATGATGAATGAGGCATACTTCCTCCAATTCTTTAAAACTTAATTTTTTATTACGAAGAATGTAAAGTTTTCCAAAGCTGATTGTTGCTGAATTTGTCAGAGAGCAATCCACAATAAAAATAAGGATTAATTCTTGCCTTTTATTGTCAGTAAGAAGTCACAAATTGTATACAGTGGTTTCTTATCAAAGAGAACTGAATTAATGTAATGTTGTACATTTTTCTAGTAAGATACCTTGAAGGTAGAGAATTTATCCTTAACCTCTCTGAGCAGTGTCCAAGAACATAGTCCAAATAAACTCTGTCCTTAATGTGTTTTACTATGAAACTTAAAGACAACACTACTAGTCGAACAATACCCTATACCTTGTGCGGTTGTGTGAGTGCAGCCTGTTGAAATCCTTGCTCAGTATATACTAAGTTGATCTTCTGTATATGAAGGTAATTGAAAATGAAAACTCGATGAAGGGCGGGATGGGAGAGGGAGTGGGAGAGGGGAGGGCCATGGGAGGGAGGGAGGTGGGGGAGGAGCCACAACAATACAAAAGTTACACTTTGTAAATTCACATTTATTAAATAATAAAAAGAAAAAAGTTCTTACATGCATTTTAAATTGAAATGTGATTTATACTATATATTATATTCAGGTTTTTCTTTTGAGTGAAATTGATGTTCCAGGAGGACAGATTATGTTTATCACGTAGCCTCACTTATCTGTGGCACAGCTTCGAAAACAAATGCCTTATTTCAAGAAGTGAAGAACTGAGGAGTTATAGGGATAAGAAATTAAACTTGTACCCGTTTTTTGTTTAAGATTTATTTTATTTATTTTGATAGGTAGAGCCACAGAGAGAGAGAGAGGGGTCTTCAATCTGCTGGTTCCCTTTCCACATGGCCACAATGCCTGGGGTGAGCCAGGCAGAAGCTAGGAGCCAGGAGCTTCTTCTGGGTCTTCCAAGTGGGCTTAAGATGTTAGGCCATCTTCTGCTGCTTTCCCAGACACATTAGCAGGGAGCTGCGTTGGAAGTTGAGCAGCTAGGACTCAAACTGGCACCCATATGAGATGCCAACACTGTAGGCCATAACTTAACCTGCTACACCACAGTACCATCCCCAAACTTGTACCAGTTTTGAAAGCTTTATAATAGATAAGGTTGTTTACGTAATGGTGCTTTTTTGAAATACTTTACCAAATGGTGTAGTTACATAAAAAATGAGAAATCATTTTAACTAATTGATGAAATTGTATTTTCTTATTAAATTGAATATTCATCCCTTCTTGTTTTTGTTATCTGAAATAGAAAATTGATCTGTAAAGGTTCTTGGGTCATAATTTACAATCATAATCTCAATTGACTGATTTTTATGAATTTTACTTAATTCAAGATGACAAAGCCTATGATTGGTAGTGTTATATAGAAAGGTAATCTTCAGGCCTTGTCTTCCTTCTACAACTCTGTCTTATTTAATGATTAGGGCATTTGTTCCAGATTATTGCCATTTGTTCACCCACTCCAAAACTTATTATAAATTTTTTCAGTTTCAGAAACGACTTTTATTTGTCTAAAGCCAGAAGGATATAGTAAATTTGAACATTAATGGTTTGCTTCTAAAATCTTGAATATCTTCTCTTTCTTGTAGGCTATAGAAAAACATCTTATTAAAAAATCCCGTGGAGGTCTTGTCTTCATTGGAGAATGGAAGAATGGTCACTTGGAAAAGAAGATGGGACATTTGGCCTGCTTTGCTGGGGGAATGTTTGCTTTAGGAGCAGATGGTTCCAGAAAGGATAAAGCTGGTCACTACCTAGAACTAGGGGCAGAAATTGCACGTACATGTCATGAGTCATATGACAGAACTGGTAAGAATCTTAATAAGGGTAATTACTTCATTTAAAATTACCTTTGTTTAAAAAAGTAAATCCAGTAATTAAAGGGAAATAAGTAAGTACTTTGTCTTATAATAGTTTACTTCAACATAGTATATCATTTTTATAAGAATTTTAATTTTTAATTTTTTTTTATATTTTTTTTTAACTTTTATTTAATGCATATAAATTTCCAAAGTATGACTTATGGATTACAATGGCTTTCCCCCCATACCGTCCCTCCCACCCACAACCCTCCCCTTTCCCACTCCCTCTCCCCTTCCATTCACATCAAGATTCACTCTCGATTATCTTAATATACAGAAGATCAGCTTAGTATACATCAAGTATGGATTTCAACAGTTTGCTCCCACACAGAAACATAAAGTGAAAAATAATAGATGATTTTTTTTTTAAATGATGATGAAATCAGAGCAGACCTATTGTCATGTTTAATCCCAGTGAGAGTCAAGTTGGGAATTGATAATTTTTTTTTTTTTTTTTACAGAGGATCAGTTTAGTATGCATTAAGTAAGGATTTCAACAGTTTGCACCCCCATAGAAACACAAAGTGAAATATATTGTTTGAGTACTCGTTATAGCATTAAATCTCAATGTACAGCACATTAAGGCTAGAGATCCTACATGAGGAGTAAGTGCACAGTGACTCCTGTTGTTGACTTTTCCAATTGACACTCCTGTCTATGGCATCAGTAATCTCCCTATGCTCCAGTCATGAGTTTCCAAGGCTATGGAAGCCCTCTGAGTTCTCCGACTCTTATCTTGTTTAGACAAGGTCATAGTCAAAGTGGAGGTTCTCTCCTCCCTTCAGAGAAAGGTACCTCCTTCTTTGATGACCTGTTCTTTCCACTGGGATCTCACTCGCAGAGATCTTTTGCCAGAGTGTCTTGGCTTTCCATGCCTGAAATACTCTCATGGGCTTTTCAGCCAGCTCCGAATGCCTTTAGGGCTGATTCTGAGGCCAGAGTGCTATTTAGGACATCTGCCATTCTATGAGTCTGCTGAGTATCTCACTTCCCATGTTGGATCACTCTCCCCTTTATTTACTCCATCGGTTAGCGTTAGCAGGTACTAGACTTGTCTATGTGCTCCCTTTGACTCCCAGTCCCTCCACCATGACCAACTGTGAACTGAAACTGATCACCTGGAACAGTGAAATGGCATTGGTACATGCCACCTCGATGGGATGGAATTGGAATCCCCTGGTATGCTTCCAACTCCACCACTTGGGGCAAGTCAGCCTGAGCATGTCCCAAATTATACATCTCTTCCCTCTCCCATTCCCACCACCATGTTCAACAGGGATCACATTTCAGTTAATTTTCAACACTTAAGAATAACTGTGCATCAATTACAGATCTAAACCAGTCATATTAAGTAGAACAGATAAAAAAAAAACTACTAAGAGGGATAATGTATTAAGTTGTTCATTAATTTTTAATTTTTGTTTCTGAATTCTGTTTCTGTTAAAGGTTTTCAGTTAATTGTTTTAAAACAAGGCTGGTGCCATGGCTCACTAGACTAACCCTCCGCCTGTGGCACCCTGGGTTCTAGTCCCAGTTGAAGCACCAGATTCTGTCCCGGTTGCTTCTTTTCCAGTCCAGCTCTCTGCTGTGGACCAGGAAGGCAGTGGAGGATGGTCCAGGTGCTTGGGCCCTGCACCCGCATGGGAGACCAGGAGGAAGCACCTGGCTCCTGGCTCCTGGCTTCAGATTGGCGCAGCGCACCAGCCGTAGCGGCCATTTTAGGGGTGAACCAACAGAAGGAAGACCTTTCTCTCTGTCTCTCACTGTCTTAACTCTGCCTGTCAAAAAAAAAAAAAAAAAAAACCAGAAGCAGAGTATTCGAGTATGTATGGAATAGCAATGTTTATTTCAGTATAATAAGAATCTACATATTCATTTCAGCTTCTTTAAAATAAGTTACTTAAAAGAAAACAAAATTGACTCTTTGGTTATATTGTCTTGCTTATACATTTGTGAAAGTAAGAATAACTAAAACATAAGAGTAATTGTCTTTAATATAAAATTGGTATCTAGCTTACTAGCAGTTTGTCCATTCACCAATAATTTCAAAGTTGTTTGTAGCTTTAATTAAAAAATTCTCTTGACATTGCTTTAGAAAAAAATATATAATATTTTCTGAACTCTATTGTCCTTACCCAGAAAAATTATGTGGATCTTAATGGTGACAAAAATTGTTTTGGGGTAGGGTGGAGGAGCTGAAAAAAAAAACTTACTGATTTTATGAGTAAACATAGATACGAGTATACAAAGAATCAGTCATAAATATGCAGTATATATTTGCTATTACTAATTTATGAATGGAGAAAGCAATTAGGTTAAAAACAAAAACAAAAACAAAATCTAAAAGGGCTGGGCCAGCACTGTAGCATAGAGGGTAAAGCCGCTGCCTGCAGTGTCAGCGTCCCATATGGGTGTTGGTTCGAGTCCCGGCTGCTCCTCTTCCAATCCAACTCTCTGCTATGACGTGGGAAAGCAGGGGAAGATGGCCCAAGTCCTTGGGCCCCTGCACCCACATGGGAGACCCAGAAGAAGCTCCTGGTTCCTTCAAATCAGCGAGCTCTGGCCATTGTGACCAGTTGGGGAGCAAACCAGCAGATGGAAGACCTCTCTCTCTCTCTGCTTCTTCTCTCTGTGTAACTCTGACTTTCAAATAAATAAACAAATATTAAAAAAAAAATTCCAAAAGGGCTTCTTAGAGGTGTAGTAGTATGAGAAAGATTGGGAAGATTGGGAAATATCAAGCTAAACCTTACCAGATGTTCTCTGGCTTTAAAAATTTGATTTTGTATGAAATAGTGAATAATGAGTTCCCTGAAAACCTAAAAATTAGTAATTTCTATTTATGATTTTAGAAGTTAAATTACTGCTTTTCTGAACTTAAGTTCTGCTTTAAGGTTAATTTATCTTTAGGTACCACAGTCCAAATATGATTTGCTCAAATTTATCCTGCTCCATAAATCTGTAAAATTACTTTTATATAATAAGAAACAACTTAAAATGAACTTGTCCTGTAGTTCTTTTGTTAACTAAATTTGGTTCCATTTTTTGGAAAAATATAACTAATGACAGTGAAGCAACTTTATTTTAATGATATATAATACATAACAAGTCAATGATCTCATATACAAACGGAAACTAAATTAAATTGTCATGTTGAGGATATAGCATGTCAATAGTACTCTTAAAATAGAGCTAAAATAGTAAGACACTGAGGACTGGCATAGATGCTGAGTCTTTTTGTTGCATTAGGACCCATTATTATTAGTCTTATCATGCAAATTTTGACCATAAGTCAAATGATTGAGCTAAAACAATAGAAGTTAATGTAGCTGACATACTAAAAATATGGCATTCACTACTATCAAAATTACTTACTCCACGACTTCCAGACCCTGGATAGGCAGGGCCTGCACTGTGCCCCTCATAAGCAGGAAGCAGTTACAGAAGAGATGATTTAACGTCCATCAATTCCCCTTAGGTTTAAGGGGATGGAGTCTCTGAGGGGGGAATGAAGTAGGCAGGCATATAGGTTAAAATCGATTAGGTGTATGAGCTGGAAGAACATGCTGTCGCCACGACCCTATGTGACCTCACGCCCTATCTGATACCTTCACCAGGCCCCTGTGTGACCTCATGCCCTACCTGGCCACACCTGGGTGCCCACCAGCCAATCAGATTAATTAACCACTCCCCTTTGGAAGTGGGTTAAAAGCCTGGGACATGGTGTGTCCCCCCTCAGCAAATTTTCAGCATGTACTATAGTATTAACTATAATCTTCATACTATACATTTCATTTCTAGGCTTATTCATCCTATGTAACTGCAAGTTTTTACTCTTTGTTGTAGTCCCATTGTTCTTCTGTTTCTATCTATGTATTTGACTTTTTTTAAGATTCCACCTATAAGTGAGATCATATAGTACTTTTCTTTCTGCTTCTGGTTTATTTCAATTAGCACAATGCCCTCCAGGTTCATCTGTGTTATAGCAAATAGCTATATCTTGTCCTCCTTTTTTTTTTTTTTTTTAAGATTTATTTATCTGAAAGAGTTACAGAGAAGGAAAGGGAGAGAGAGAGAGGTCTTTCATCTCCTGGTTCACTCCCCAAATATCCGAACAGCTAGGACTGGCTTTTGGCCAGGCCAAAGCCAGGAGCCAGGAGCTTCTTCCAGGTCGCCCATGTGGGTGCAGGCACTTGGGCCATCCTCTCTGCTTTCCCAAGCACATTAGCAGGAAGCTGTCCTGCCCTTTTAAGACTCAGTAATGTTCCTCTTTGTGTGCGCAAACAACTACTTTGTTCATCTCTTGATAGATGCTTGGGTTGTTGCCATGTCTTAGCTATTGGGATGCTTCAGTAATGTGGAAGTAGTGCAGATTATGCCACAAGGTGCTGATTTCATTTCCTGTAGATAACAGAATTGATTTAATTTTTTGAGGAACCTACGTAGTGTTTTCCATAATGACTATACCAAAGTACCTTCCCACCAACAGTATTACAAGAGTTTTCCTTTTCTTCATACCCTTCGCAACAACCTTTTATTGATATTAGCTATCCTAACTAATGGGAGGCTATATTTCATTGTGATTTTGATTTGAAATTCTTTGATGATGCTTAGTGATGTTGAGCACCTTTTCATATATGTGTTGTCCATTTTTATGTCCTCTTTGGAAAAGTATCTGTTCAAGACCCTTATCCATCTTTTACACAGCATATTTTTTTTTTCTGTTAAGCAGTATAAGTTCCTTAAATATATTTTGGATATTAACCCATTATCAGATAAATGGTTTGCAGATATTTTCCCCTAATCTTTAGAAAACTGCCTTTTCATTTTGCTTTCTTTGTTGTGCAGAAATTTCTTAGATTCATGTTGTCCCACTTATTTTTTCTTTTGTCATCAGAGTTTTTTATGTGATATCCAAAATGACATTTTGAGGGCTAGTATCAAGGTGCTTTTCCTCTGTGTTTTCTCCTAGGATTTTATGGTTTTAATAAAGTGTTTCAAACATTTAGGTCTTAAATCCATTTTTGTTGATTTTATGTATGATGTAAGATAGAGATATATTTTATTCTTTTCCATGTATATATTCAGGTTTCTAAAGTTTAAATATTTATGTTATTTGAAGGAGCTACAGGGAGAGAGAGGAAGGGACGGGGAGAGAGAAGGAGAGAGAATGAGATCTTCTATCCACTGTTTCACTCCCCAGATATTGCAACAGCCAAGGCTGAGTCGCCAAAGCTAGGAGCTAGGACCTTCATCTAGATCTCCCATGTGGGCAGCAGGGGTCCAGCTCCCTGGCCATTAACAGGGAGCTGGATTGGCAGTGGAGCAGCTGGGACATAAACCAGCACCCATTATGGGATGCCATAAGGCAGCAGCTTACCCACTACATCACAGCGCCTGCTCCTTGGTTGCTTTTGAAAACTAGTTTACTTTGCATACTTAGTTCTAATTCTGAGCTGTCTCTGGGTCCTTGTATCTGTTTTTATTCCAGTATCTTATAAGATGCTAAAAAAAAAAAGTATTTGACAAAGTTCAACATCTTTTCATAATAAAACCTCTCAGTGAGAAACAGGTAAGGAAAGAAATTTCCTCAACATACTAAAGACCCTATATAATAAGTTCACAGCTATCATAACCAATGAGGAAAAACTAAAAGCTTTTCCTCTAAGGTCTGCCAGAAGGCAAGAATGCCTATTTTTGCCACTTTTATTCAACATAGTACAGAAAATATAAGCAACGGCATTTATTAAAGACAAATAAAAGACATCCAGATAAAAAAGGAAGAAATGAAACTGTCCATATTAGCAGGTGGCATGATCTGATATGCAGAGTTGTTAGAACTGATAAATACATTTAGTAAAATAACAGGAGTACAAAACCAGCAAACAAAAATCAATTTCATTTTTTTCACCAATAAAAATACTGTTGGTGTAGTGAGTAAAGCCCCTGCCTGCAGTGCCAGCATCCCATATGGGCACCGGTTTGAGTCCTGGTTGCTCCAGTGTTGGAGACCTGGAGGAAACTCCTGGCTCCTGGCTTCGTCCTGGCCCAGCCCTTTTTCCCCTATTTTGGCCATTTGGGGAATTAACCAGCAGATGGAAGACCTCTCTCACTGTCTCTCTCTCTCTCCCTCCCTCCCTCTTTCCCTCTCTCTCCCTGCCTCCCTTCCTTCCTTCTCCCCAACTCTGACTTTCAAATAAATAAAATCTTTGAAGAAAAAGAAACAATGTCATTCTGAAAAATAAGTCAAGAAAATCCTGTTTATGGTAGCATCAAAAAAACTATAATACTTAGAGTCCAATTTAATCAAAGAAGTGAAATATCTCTCTACTGAAGACACAAATAAATGGAAAGATAACTCATGCTCATGGTTTAGAAGAATTAATTTTGTTATAGTATCTTTATAATCCCAAATAAGTTACAGATTCAGTGCAGTTGCTACCAGAATTCCTATGGCATTTTTCACAGAAATTGAAAAAGCAATTTTTTTTCTTTTTCTTTCTTTTTTTTTTTTTTTTTTTTTGACAGGCAGAGTGGACAGTGAGAGAGAGAGAGACAAAGGTCTTCCTTTTGCCATTGGTTCACCCTCCAATGGCCGCTGTGGCCGGCGCACCGCGCTGATCCGATGGCAGGAGCCAGGTACTTATCCTGGTCTCCCATGGGGTGCAGGGCCCAAGCACTTGGGCCATCCTCCACTGCACTCCCTGGCCACAGCAGAGAGCTGGCCTGGAAGAGGGGCACTGGGACAGAACCGGCGCCCCGACGGGGACTAGAACCCGGTGTGCCGGCACCGCAAGGCAGAGGATTAGCCTAATGAGCCGCGGCGCCAGCCAAAAAAGCAATTTTAAAATTCATAAAAGACCCAGAATAACCAGAGTAATCTTGAGAAAGAAAAATAATGTTAGTGGCAATACATTTCAAATCATATTGTAAAACCAAAGTCATCAAAACATTATAGTATTGGTGTAAAAACAAACACAAACTTATAATTTTAAAACCATGTTTTAAATGCCAAATTTATTTCATCCTGTGCAAGACCTTATCAATAAGCTGAGTAGAAGTTCTCTTACCAAATACCATTAATCTGTTGGTTATTCCTAATCTCAGATCTCTTTGAAGAGTGGGCCAAAGCTCTACCCACACACAAAATTTTACATATAATTTCAGTCTTCTTAGAAGCAAGTTTCCCTCTTCCAAAGCTTACAGTGGAGTTCATGACTCTCACGTGAAGAATCTCAGCCTGAGTTTTGCTGTAGTTCTCTAAGACTTAGCAGTAATAGAATTTGGTTATTTTGAATCACTTGCTTTGCTTTTAGTAGGACTCTCTGCTGTCACCACAGGGTTTGGCTTTCTGTTTTGAAGGGGAAGGGTAGGTAAGAGGTGGTCTACTTTCACTTTCTTTGAGTTGTGATGATTTGGAACTTACAGTGCCACCTTGGTAATGCTGAAACTTGGCCACAATTATAGCATGATTTTATTTATGTTCCCTACTACTGTAGTTCTTGTGTTATTCTTTGTTTATTAAAAAATAAAAGTAAAAATGTTTCTCCAAAGAGGTGAAAGAAATCAAAACTTGTAACTTTAGTGAAAGGTGGCAGCTGAGAGTTTTGTGACCCCAGTGTCCCAAAGGAATATGTCCTTGTATCACTATTGCCTTTGTTTAAGGGAGGGACGTGTGATAAGAACGAGGGTTGTAGTTCTGTGTTAGTCTATTGTATACTGCTATAACAGGAAACCTGAGAGAGGGTAGTTTATAAAGAACAGAAATTTATTTCTTGCTACTGTGCAGCCTAAAGTCCAAGATGAGTGTGTCAACATTCAGTGTCTGGTGATGGCTGTCTTACTGTGTCCTCGTGTGGCAGAACGCATTAAAGCAAGCTAAGTGAATTCTGCTTGAAGCTTCTTTTGAAGACTTGAAAGGCACCCTCATGGTCTAATCACCTCATAAAGTCCCCACCTCTTTAGAGATTTGTTTATTTAGAAGAGTTACAGAGAGAGAAAGATCTTCCATGTGCGTGTTCACTTCCCAGGTAACCACAATGACCAGGGCTGAGCTAAGTCAAAGCCATCATCCAGGTCTTCCATTGGGTGACAAGGGCCCAAGCACTTTGGTCATCTTCAGCTGCTTTCCTTAGGCCACAAGCAGGGACTGGATCCAAAGTGGAGCAGCTGGGACACGAATCGGTACCCATATGGGATGAGGGTGTCACATGCCATGGCTTTACCCACTACACTACTATACCGCCCCAGGCCACACCTCTTTATACTGTCATGTTGGCAACACAATCACTTCATAGCAGTGTCCTTAAAAACTCTTTTGTGTAGTGTTGAATTATAGTCTGAATGGAAATCATATTGTTGAAATGGATGTATAATGCTTTGATTGTCAAACTTATTGATAAATAGGCAAGTTAATGGTGAAATTCTTGGTGGTTGGCATTTTGAACCTCTGAGAGATGGGGCCAGGTGGGTGGGCCTATGGGTGAAGGAGAGTATACTTTTAAAACTGTGTTAACTATTAAAGGATATTGTTTCTTATATATTATAGTTTGCTTTAAAAGTGTATATGTAATTCAAGATTTAAACTCTAAAATATTTTCTTATGTGTGTATTATAGCAAAGAGACTAAAATTATCTTGCCTTTTTGGGAAAACAATTTCTGCACAGTGTGATTGTCTCTATGATTTAATTTTGGGCCACAGTAGGATTATATAATATGCTTGTGTCTGGCTTTGCATTTGTATCCGATGAATTGCCAGACTTTACTTGGTAGAATTAAATTCAACTATGTTGATATACATTATGCTGAGAAATATTTCATGTCAGAATGATAGGAATATTTAGAAGTCTTTTATAAGAAAACCAAATTTGGATCTTTGAAAGTAACTCGTTTTGCAAAACAGCAACAATATAAATAAAACAGTCAACAAAAAATACTTCATGCCCTGTTCCTTCAGGGGAGAAGAAAGCTCTTGCAAGCCAACAGAAATGCTTTATTTTGCTCATTCATTATTTTTGTCACATTACAGCCTTAAAGCTAGGTCCTGAGTCATTCAAATTTGATGGTGCAGTAGAGGCTGTGGCTGTCCGGCAGGCTGAAAAGTATTACATCCTCCGTCCAGAAGTAATTGAAACTTATTGGTACCTATGGCGATTCACTCATGATCCCAGATACAGGCAGTGGGGCTGGGAAGCAGCACTGGTAAGTAAATCAATATTGCATTTTATCTGCAAAAGTGTTGAATCAAGCCCCGCTGTTGTGCCGTGTGTCCAAATGTGAGTTATCGTATTTTCAGTTACTGTAGGGCAATCTTCATTTATCTGTTGAAGAAAGTCTATCAATTTAAGTTTCATGAACAGTAAAAATAAAGCTTGAAGTCCAGTTTTGTTTGCTATCGGGGCTACTGCCCTGCTAGTATACACTCATTATTCTTATTGAATAACTATAAGGGGTCATTTATAAAAATAAGTAGTTTAAGTTTCTTTACTGTCAACTTAATGTTTAATCATTGGAAAAAAATGAAAAATATCTTTGTAAAACTGCCAAGTGTACAGCTTTCTTACTAACCTCACTTTATGTTATGAGTGATTTCTTAGTGGGTCACCCAAAAAGGATCAATAAACTGTTAAAATGTTTCCAGACTGAAATATAAAATTTGTACGTACTTGAAATTAGAGATCTTTACTGGTAAATAAAGGAAGTAAAATACTAGTTGTTCAGGCAACCCCCTGGCTATCAGTACCTGAGTAGGTGTGGACATTGGCCTTTCATGAAAATATGGCTTTTCACCCACTAGAATGGGGTTTTTTTTCCTCTGAGATTTAAAAATTGTGATGAATAGTGCTGGTTTTGAATATTTACATTCAAATTGTTTGATTTGAACTTGCAGTCTAGATAGAATAACTAAGGACATATGGCTGAGGTTTGTAGTGCTAGTCAGTTTCACAAAGGAATGTTCAGTATCTGTTTTAGGGCAGGATGTATACCAGTTTATATAAAGAGAATGTTTCACCACCATGGCAAAGGGGGAAGAAGGTTAGAGCCATTAAGTGGACAGCCTTATTATGTGCCAAGTCAAGAGCACTCAACTTGGATTTAGTTGTTCAGGAATAGACACACACATGCATAAGGTCACCCAAATTTTTCAGTAATTTCTATCAGTTATTGTGTAAGGATTCTCATATAGAAGCAGTGATAGAAAGTCCTTATCTAAAAAAGCCCTTCAGATCTCTTCTTTTTTCCTACCCACAAAAGCTCCCTAACTTACAGGATTTGTTACAGAACTACTGGGGACAATTAAAGTTTTTTGAAGGGGAAGGAAAACTAAAGTCTTTTGCAGTGAGGAGTAACAAAACAAAAGGATGTCACTGCAATCTACAGATCAGTGGGTCTTGGAAACCACTGCAGTAATCTAGGAAGAACGTGATATCTTGAGCTAAGTGAGGACACTTCTATGTTATTTGTCATTCAAACCTATGTAGTTCTTCTGGACTTTAACAAAAAGAGAATATTAATGTAAGCAAGGTAATTATACAGAATAGGAACAGATGCTTGTTTATTTGATGCTGCTTTTCCCTGACCCCTTGGATCTAGAATTGGGAACATCTACTAGTGTAACTGTGCAGGAGGGTCCTGGCAGTTGAGAATATAGAACTTTCAAGTCAGATTCAACATAGGACTACTTTACCTATCTATTTCTGTTATAGAAAATGGTTTTTGATTTATGTAAATATTAGCAAGCCACTGCTAACAACAGAAGTGTGTCTCCTACTCCTAAACCACTTGATAACAATGGACCATTTTGAATTAAAAATAAGGTTTTAAGTATACACCATTGAACCTGGTCTATTTTTTCAGATATGTTCAAAGATGCAAATATATATATATGTGTGTGTGTATACATATATATATATATATATAAAGAAGTTTAACATCACGTCAAGCAGTACAGCATAGTAGTTAATAACATGGAACAAACTATTCTGTGCTGTTTTCCCATCTGAAGAATGGAGCTATTAACTTCATGGGGTTGCTGTGAAATTTTAATATTAGTATATCTAAAGCTCTTAGGCAGACGTTCGGCATATAGCAAATATTTCCTAGTGATTAACTCTTAACATTATAATTGTTATTAATAATATGCGTAAAAAGATGTATTTATTTATTTATTTATTTATTTGAAAGGCAGAGCAACAGAGAAGGAAGAGAGAGATCTTACAGCTGCTGGTTCATGCTGCAAATGGGTACAACAGCCAAATCTGGGCCAGGCTGAAGCCAAGGGCCAGGAACTTTATCCTGGTCTCCCACATGAGTGACAGGGGCCCAAGTACTTGGGCCATTTTCCACTGCTTTCCCAGACACATTAGCAGGAAGCTGGATTTGGAAGCAGAGGACCTGGGGGATGCCAGCATCACTGGTGGCACTAATTTGACTTCTAAATTTGACATCTCATTTGGGAAAAGCAAGATAATTTTATAAGACCAAAGAATTTTGGAGAGGGAGAGGTTCTATAGGAAACAGACTGTTTCCAGTATGAGTTAATTTTTCCTGTATGAAAATATTCCTTTTTAAAAGTTTATTTATTTATATGAAAGGCAAAATGATATAGAGGAAAAGCGAGATAAAAAGCTTCCATCCTCTGGTTCCGTCCCCAGATAGCCACAAAGGCCGGGACTGGTCTAGGCCAAAGCAAGGACCCAAACTCATCTGAGTCTCCCACTTGGATGGCAGGGGCCCAAGTTCTTGGGCCATCTTCTGTTGTTTTCCCAGGCACGTTAGCAGGGAGCTGGATTGCAAGTAGAGCAGTTGGAACTCAAACTAGCACTCCAATGTGGAATGCTGCTGTCTGAAGCAGTGGCTTAACCCACTGTGCCATAACACTGGCCCCAGTATGAAAATATTTTTGTTTGATAATGTATTATTCATAAACTATCAAATCTTCATATATATATCTCTATGAACTTTTGTCTTTGGTCTTTAAATTGTCCTTCACAACTTGTAATTCTGTGGAATTTATTCTTTGTCTGATCTCTTCCATAGGCTATTGAAAAGCACTGCCGAGTCCGTGGTGGGTTTTCTGGGATCAAGGATGTATATTCTTCTACTCCTACACATGATGATGTACAGCAGAGCTTCTTTCTTGCTGAAACATTGAAGTAAGTACATTATCTTTTTTTTTTTTTTTTTGACAGGCAGAGTTAGACAGTGAGAGAGAGAGAGAGAGAAAGGTCTTCCTTCCGTTGGTTCACCCCACAAATGGCCGCTACAGCTGGTGCGCTGCGCGGATCCGAAGCCAGGAGCCAGGTGCTTCCTCCTGGTCTCCTGTGCGGGTGCAGGGCCCAAGCACTTGGGCCATCCTCCACTGCCTTGGAAGAGGAGCAACCGGGACAGAATCCAGCATCCCGACCGGGACTAGAACTTGGGGTGCCGGTGCCGCAGGCGGAGGATTAGCCTAGTGAGCCGCGGCACTGGCCAAGTACATTATCTTTTAAAATTTTTCTGTTGCAGGCTGAGTTTCTGCATGGTCATTAGATAGTGAATTATGACTATATGAAGTGTTACACTAAATTATTTCAGGTGTCCTTTTATGTAATTGGTTCTGTAAATTTTTATCTGCATCTCAAGAAGAATGAGTTAGACTATAAAGAGATATTTATCAAATAACTATTTATTTAGTATCTTTGTATTTATTTTGTTCTTAGCTCTTTATTTACATTAGAATCACCCAGAAGTCTCCTTAAAGCACAGATAAGTGGCCTGTACCTACAGAAATTCTGTATGTCTGGGATTTAGCACACTTGTGATTTGAATTTTATCATAGATTAGATTTGAGTATAAGGTCATGTAAATAGTTTTTTTTTCTTTTGTAATTAATAGGCTATCTATGGAGTGATAACTCTAAAACTGTAAATGCATTTTTCCAATAGTCTTTCATTTAGTTTTTTTAGCATCTTACTTGAATTACATATTACTATAGTACTAGTATAATGCTAATTTAAAGTCTCTTTTAGTCTTTTTTTTTTTATCTTTTATTTAATGAATATAAATTTCCAAAGTACGACTCATGGGTTACAATGGCTTCCCCCCCCATACCGTCCCTCCCACCCACAGCCCTCCCCTTTCCCACTCCCTCTCCCCTTCCATTCACATCAAGATTCATTTTCGATTATCTTAATATACAGAAGATCAGCTTAGTATACCTTAAGTAAGGATTTCAACAGTTTGCTCCCACACAGAAACATAAAGTGAAAAATAATAGATGATTTTTTTTAAATGATGATGAAATCAGATCAGACCTATTGTCATGTTTAATCCCAGTGAGAGTCAAGTTGGGAATTGATAATTTCTTTTTTTTTTTTTTTTTTACAGAAGATCAGTTTAGTGTACATTAAGTAAAGATTTCAATCGTTTGCACCCCCATAGAAACACAAAGTGAAATATACTGTTTGAGTACTCGTTATAGCATTAAGCCTCAATGTACAGCACCTTAAGGACAGAGATCCTACATGAGGAGTAAGTGCACAGTGACTCCTGTTGTTGACTTTACAAATTGACACTCCTGTTTATGGCATCAGTAATCTCCCTATGCACCAGTCATGAGTTTCCAAGGCTATGGAAGCCCCTTGAGTTCTCCGACTCTTATCTTGTTTAGACACGGTCATAGTCAAAGTGGAGGTTCTCTCCTCCCTTCAGAGAAAGGCATGGTGGATTCTGAAGACCTGTTCTTTCCACTGGGATCTCACTCACAGAGATCTTTTTGCCAGAGTGTCTTGGCTTTCCATGCCTGAAATACTCTCATGGGCTTTTCAGCCAGATCCGAGTGCCTTTAGGGCTGATTCTGAGGCCAGAGTGCTATTTAGGACATCTGCCATTCTATGAGTCTGCTGAGTATCTCACTTCCCATGTTGGATCACTCTCCCCTTTATTTATTCTATCGGTTAGTGTTAGCAGGTACTAGACTTGTTTATGTGCTCCCTTTGACTCTTAGTCCTTTCATTATGATCAATTGTGAACTGAAATTGATCACTTGGAATAGGCACATGCCACCTTGATGGGATTGAACTGGAATCCCCTGGTATGTTTCCAACTCTACCAATTGGGGCAAGTCAGCCCGAGCATGCCCCAAATTATACATCTCTTCCCTCTCTTATTCCCACTCTTATGTTTAACAGGGATCACTTTTCAGTTAATTTTCAACACTTAAGAATAACTGTGTGATAATTACAGAATTAAACCAGTCATATTAAGTAGAACAGACAAAAAAAATACTAAGAGGGATAATGTATTAAGTTGTCCATCAACAGTCAGGGCTATGCTGATCAAGTCACCATTTCTCATAGTGTCCATTTCACTTCAGGAGGTTTCCTTTTTGGTGTTCAGTCAGTTGTCACCGATCAGGGAGAACATATGGTATTTGTCCCTTTGGGACTGGCTTACTTCACTCAGCATCATGTGTTCCAGATTCCTCCATTTTGTTGCAAATGACTGGATTTCGTTGTTTCTTACTGCGGTATAGTATTCTAAAGAGTACATATCCCATAATTTCTTTATCCAGTCTACCGTTGATGGGCATTTAGGTTGGTTCCAGGTCTTGGCTATTGTGAATTGTGCTGCAATAAACATTAGGGTGCAGACCGCTTTTTTGTTTGTCAATTTAAACTCCTTTGGGTAAATTCCAAGGAGTGGGATGGCTGGGTCGAACGGTAGGGTTATATTCAGGTTTCTGAGGAATCTCCAGACTGATTTCCATAGTGGCTTGACCAGTTTGCATTCCCACCAACAGTGGGTTAGTGTCCCTTTTTCCCCACATCCTCGCCAGCATCTGTTGTTGGTAGATTTCTGCATGTGAGCCTTTCTAACCGGGGTGAGGTGAAACCTCATTGTGCTTTTGATTTGCATTTCCCTGATTGCTAGTGACCTTGAACATTTTTTCATGTGCCTGTTGGCCATTTGGATTTCCTCTTTTGAAAAATGTCTATTGAAGTCCTTGGCCCATCTCTTAAGTGGGTTGTTGGTTTTGTTTTTGTGGAGTTTCTTGATCTCTTTGTAGATTCTGGTTATTAACCCTTTATCTGTTGCATAGTTTGCAAATATTTTTTCCCATTCTGTCGGTTGTCTCTTCACTCTCCTGACTGTTTCTTTTGCAGTACAGAAACTTCTATTTGATGCAATTCCAATAGTTGATTTTGGCTTTGACTATCTGTGCCTCCCGGGTCTTTTCCAGAAATTCTTTGCCTGTGCCAATATCTTGAAGGGTTTCTCCAATGTTCTCTAATAACTTAATGGTGTCAGGACGTAGATTTAGGTCTTTAATCCACGTTGAGTGAATTTTTGTGTAAGGTGTAAGGTAGGGGTCTTGCTTCATGCTTCTGCACGTGGAAATCCAGTTTTCCCAGCACCATTTATTGAATAGACTGTCCTTGCTCCAGGAATTAGTTTTAGATCCTTGATCAAATATAAGTTGGCTGTAGATGTTTGGATTGATTTCTGGTGTTTCAATTCTGTTCCATTGGTCTATCCATCTGTTTCTGTACCAGTACCATGCTGTTTTGATTACAACTGCCCTGTAGTATGTCCTGAAATCTGGTATTGTGATGCCTCCGGCTTTGTTTTTGTTGTACAAGATTGCTTTAGCTATTCTCGGTCTCCTGTTTCTCCATATGAATTTCAGCATCATTTTTTCTAGATCTGAGAAGAAGGTCTTTGGTATCTTGATTGGGATTGCATTGAATCTATAAATTGCTTTTGGGAGAATGGACATTTTGATGATGTTGATTCTTCCAATCCATGAGCATGGAAGATTTTTCCATTTCTTGGTATCCTCTTCTATTTCTTTCTTTAAGATTTTGTAATTTTCATCGTAGAGATCTTTAACGTCCTTGGTTAAGTTTATTCCAAGGTATTTGATTGTTTTTGTAGCTATTGTGAATGGGATTGATCTTAGCAGTTCTTTCTCAGTCATGGCATTGCTTGTGTATACAAAGGCTGTTGATTTTTGTGCATTGATTTTATATCCTGCCACTTTGCCAAACTCCTCTATGAGTTCCAATAGTCTCTTAGTAGAGTTCTTTGGATCCTCTAAGTACAGAATCATATCATCTGCAAAGAGGAATAGTTTGACTTCTTCCTTCTTGATTTGTATTCCTTTGATTTCTTTTTCTTGTCTGATGGCTCTGGCTAAAACTTCCAGAACTATGTTAAATAGCAGTGGTGAGAGTGGGCATCCCTGCCTGGTGCCAGATTTCAGTGGAAATGCTTCCAACTTTTCCCCATTCAATAGGATGCTGGCTGTGGGTTTTTTATAAATTGCTTTGATTATATTGAGGAATGTTCCTTCTATACCCAATTTGCTTAGAGTTTTCATCATGAAAGGGTGTTGAATTTTATCAAATGCTTTCTCTGCATCAATTGAGATAATCATATGGTTTTTCTTTTGCAGTCTGTTAATGTGGTGAATCACATTGATTGATTTGCGAATGTTGAACCATCCCTGCATACCAGGGATGAATCCCACTTGGTCTGGGTGGATGATTTTCCTGATGTGTTGTTGTACTCTATTGGCCAGAATTTTATTGAGGATTTTTGCGTCTATGTTCATCAGGGATATTGGTCTGTAATTCTCTTTCAGTGCTGCATCTTTCTCTGGCTTAGGGATTAAGGTGATGCTGGCTTCATAGAAAGAATTTGGGAGGATTCCCTCTTTTTCGATTGTTCTGAATAGTTTGAGAAGAATTGGAGTTAGTTCTTCTTTAAATGTCTGGTAGAATTCAGCAGTGAATCCATCTGGTCCTGGGCTTTTCTTTGTTGGGAGGGCCTTTATTACTGTTTCAATTTCTGTTTCAGTTATGGGTCTATTTAGGTTTTCTATGTCTTCATGGTTCAATTTTGGTAGATTGTATGTGTCCAGGAATCTATCCATTTCTGATAGGTTTTCCTGTTTGCTGGCATACAGGTCCTTGTAGTAATTTCTGATGATTCTTTTTATTTCTGTGGTGTCTGTTGTTACGTTTCCTTTTTCATCTCTGATTTTATTGATTTGGGTCTTTTCTCTTCTTTTTTTAGTTAGTTGGGCCAATGGGGTGTCAATTTTGTTTATTTTTTCAAAAAACCAGCTTCTCGCTTGGCTGATTTTTTGTAATGTTTTTTTGGATTCAAT